GACTCGCTGGACCTGCTGGAAGATGGAATAATGTATTCTTGTTGAGATAAAGCATTAGAACATTGTGTGTCATTCGTAGCAGTAACTTTGTTGTTGATTGGGGTTTTCGGGCGCATCGACTGCAGCGGTCATTTTGCGCCCATCATGGCAGTAACGATTTAGTCGTACAGTCTACGTAACAAGGCATTTGGCCGCAAGCGAATAAATCGAGCTGAGTAACCTTGAAGAAAAGCCGTGTTTGGAGACGGTGGAGAACACGTAACGTAAAGACGCCGAAAACAGATAAGCAAGATGGAAAACCTGCGCTACTCGAAAGATCTGAAGAACACCGTCTTCCGGACACGTGTTATCTGTCCCGCATATTCGCCGCCGGTGAGGCCCCGTCGACGACCGGGCTGGCTTCTGCGTCGGGTCGGCCGAAGCCATGTCCTCGCCAGAAGGCGCGCGCGCGCCGAACCCAATCAGGCCGGCCTGTATGCGTCGCCAGGCAGCGGCCGGAAAGCAGGCCGCGGCCGGAGCGGCGCTCATTAGCGCGCTCGCCAGCGCAGCTCCGTATGCGTATCGGGCTGCAGGGGGGTGACGGGCAGTCACTCGCCCCCCCCCCCCCCCCCTCTTCCGCCCGCCGGCCGCGGTGCGGCTGACCGGCCAGAGCACGAGCCTGTGGGGTAGTAAGGGGGGGGGGACGCAGAAGATCCTGCGGACGGCGCGTTCCAGTAGCCGAGCTGACGATATCTGACGGCTTCACGTGAGCGATGGGCGAGCGATGGACGAGCGATGGATATTGCCACGATTTCATTATAGTGAGCAAGCGCAAGCGAGTCCTAAGGCCCGGTATGGGAACCGGTTACCTCGCGAGAGCTGCGACATTTCCCCACAGATGCCACAGGTGGAAAGCTGTCAAACGGCTGTAAAATGATACGTCGCAATTCCCCGACGCTTTTTCCTCGCTAATGACGGTCAGCGGTCAACAGCTGGCTATTAACTGTTTCACGGAAAAGGACTTGAGCATGTGTGTATGAATTGTTAAGAAGTGGACAGACAGTCCGGCAATTATACACGGCTGATAGCATATTTATGACATAGTCATCCCAGCTGAACATCGGCGTCAAACCTTGTCATTTCGACTCCCCGAACCACCATTCTGCTTGTCAAGCACCACAGAAGTATTGGGTATTTATTAGCTCCACGTGATTGAGAGAAAACTTATGCGCAGTTCTTTCGTTCAACCGCCCGCGACAAATGATGATTAATATCTGCAAATCATCGGGGGGAACTGCTAAAGAAATATATGTATATGAATATATATATATATATATATATATATATATATATATATATATAAATATGTATATAAAATACACACGCGCACGCACACGCACGCGCGCACGCGCACACGCACACACACACACACACACACACACACACACACGCACACGCACACGCACACGCACACGCACACGCACACGCACACGCACACGCACACGCACACGCACACGCACACGCACACGCACACGCACACGCACACGCACACGCACACGCACACGCACACGCACACGCACACGCACACGCACACGCACACGCACACACACACACACACACACACACACACACACACACACACACACACACACACACACACACACACACACACACACACACACACACACACACACATATATATATATATATATATATATATATATATATATATATATATATATATATATATAGTGATGGCGATATATAATATTATATATATATACATATATATATATATATATATATATATATATGTATCGATAGCGATGTATATACATATATATATACATATATATATATATATATATATATATATATACATGTATAGCGATAAGCATGTGTGTTAAGTGCTAGTAGACTAAGCGTACTTGATGCTTCCGGGTCACTCCTTACACTCGTAATGGATAATCTGAAACACTTCCACGACAACTTAGATGACAGTCACGGAAGAGCATAGTTGCGACACCGAGATGCGAGTTCTCACCAACCCGCATGCCAGTCACTTCCGACCGCGCGTGACCCCGACTCCCGTGGTATGTGGTCATCCATCAGGATTCGGACGTCGCTGGCATGGACGCAACGGGAATCGCAGCTCTCAACTTCAGCGGCCCTCTAGTTCGGCTTACAAAGACGGGGATCTGGCGACCACACGTCATGTTCGAACCGCCATCAGTGGAAAGGAGCGAAAGGCAAGCACGATGACCAACCTGGATGAAAAGGATGCGTTCTGCTTCGAGGCTGCGCGATGAGCATGATACTCGGCACCGACGATGATGCACCCGATCTGGCACGATTGGTTATCAAACTGTCCAGCGCAATGTAGATTATCCGTGTAACCGACAGGAATACGGCCAGGCTCCGGCATTATGGAATGCAGAGAAAGTTCAGCATTGTCCCGCACAGCGACATGTGACCGTGGACCGTTACAAGTGGCCACTTCTTCACTAAATTTTTCAAAGCCTGCGGGATTTTACACGTGATCTGCGTGCACTTTATGTCAGCCGTTGGGTCATCTCAGTGGGAAAGAGCTGTCAATACTTACCTTAACACTTGCTGGTGTCGGTGTCATCACGCCTTTCACCTACTTATTTAACGATTTGTCAATAAACTAAATTGTTGTCACTCTCCCATGTCAAGACATTCACGAGAATTCAACTCATAGGGCACGAGCGCAGCGTAAATGGCAATAACCACCGTCATTGATGTTTGCTTTTCTTGTTTTTCTCTGCCATGTCACCATGTAAGTTTTTATTTATATTGCATGGGTCTTAGAATGCAGTTAAGCACCCGGTTTTTTAAGAGTATGCAAGTTTAATACGGTGGTACATACTTGACACCGAAAGTTGTTTTTTTTACCTGTGGGCTTGTGCCTTGTGTCCTTCTCCCCACAAAGACACGTCCCTTATCGACCAAGAGCTCTTCTGGATTCCCGTGAGTTCCCTGGCTGCTTATGTTCCTTCCCTCTCCATCTACGCAGTCTCGAGCTCGCTGGAGTTCGTGAAGCCGACAGGGGACATCTGTAGTCTTTGCGAGATGTTGCAGAGGCGCTCGTGGGCCATCGTCTCGAAGCGTCCCACCTGCCAGACGTGGCCCAGGAAGTGCCGCGCATACGCCGGTCGTCCTAGCGACGGACTGGCAGCCGCAGGGGAATGTAAGGGCTCCCCGCCCTGACGCCGCGCGTCCACGTCCTCACCCGCAGCATGTCCCCACCCGCAGCATGTCCTCACCCGCATGTCCTCACGGCACCATCCGACACCATGACGTCCTGGTGCGGCTCCCCGGCTCAGAGGCGTCTGAAACCGTGGCCATGAGGCGCCACGGCCCGACATCGGGTCGATGCTGCGACCGTCTGCCGCGTGCGCCGGGAGGCAGTGGCCGTCAGGAAGTGATCGCCACAGCGCCAGGATGCACGCGCAGGCGAGAGGCAGCCGGCGAGCGACGCTCGAATGTATCCGCTTATTGTGTGATCAGTAGCGTATGCACCACGGGGCAACGCTAAACAAAATGCTATGTCAATTAGGGTCAGTAGGGTTATATTGTCATGTAATTGTTAAGCTATCTTTACATAATATCACAAGAGAACCCACGTAAAGATTATGGGCACTGGATGACGGGCACTTTTGTGATCCAAAGACACTGGACGAAAAATGGGTGTTTTCAATGCCAAACCAAGCCATCTGGGATGACGCACAATGGTGGTAAAGCTTCTGATCCGCTACGCTTTGGACCATCACCTGAATATCGACAAAAATATGCGATGGCGTAGCCAGGATTGCATCCCCAAGCAAAAGGAATCGGGCCATACGTCGCGTTTCAGTCAAGAGACCTCTGTTGTTCTTGGTCTTTTATATTCGGAGGGCTTTTCCACTCTGACTTCCTGTTGATGGCTTAGGGCTGGCTCGCTATGTTCTCAACGCCTTGCGACTGCCTCATGATATCGAAAAGTACTGCATATCAAGACGCGTGAAGACACAGAGGGGTTGCATCTGAACAGTGGCGGCGGAACCTCTCTGGAGATGGCAGAAGGCAAGCGTGATTCTTGCCTCACTTCTGTCCAAGCGTCGCTATAGTCTAGTGTTAACTTTTCCCGTACTTGAAGACAGCTGGCACTACTCTCCTGTCCCTCCCTCCTCCCCACCCCAGCACGCCACCACTGCATCTGATGCAAGAACTTCCTGAAATGATTAACTTCGCACGGAAAAGCCTTAGAACGCGTGGCACGCACATCAAACTCATCCATTTGGACTTCGTTCACACTATATGCACCAGAAAAGAGCCACGTCACAAGAAAGCCAACCGACAAGGTCTTCAAAGCCGGGTCTGCAGCCCGCCGCTCGCTACAGCGCGAACAAATCCCGTCGCAAAACCCCACGCACAGCCTCTGCCCCCGTCACATGCCACGGCTCAGTCACATGAGACGACACGCTCGTGTTTATAACGGTCACCGGTCCCGAGAACTCGCGCGACAGAGGCGGTGGTCACGGGGCCGGGCCCCCGACCGCGAGAGCTCAGACCGCCTGTCGAGCACATGGCCCGTTAATAGCCGCCTTCCGCCGCGCCGGCCGCCGCGTTCCGGCCGCGTCCGCAGCCGGGGCAGAATTTACGCGGCGATTTAAGCCTCCGCCGGTAATCTACATCGGCCAGCTAACTTTCGCCGTGAACGTGATTTAGGCATCTCCCGAAAAAGGCCCCCCGCCGGCGCCGGCTTAACGGCCTGGGGCTGGATCACGCCGCGCCGCGCTGCGTACTGAGCCTCAGCTGTGAGCTGGGCTGGTCGCTAGCTAAGTCCCGTGCGCGTTCCCACCGGCCGCGTCGTGTCGATGCGCCGTCGTGTCTCGACTCCCGGGTAGCGGTGTGCCGTCGCCCCGCCGACCACGCCCGCCGTGAGCAGGCGACGGCGCGGAGAGCGACGCCCGCCAGCGGCGAGACGGACACCTCGCCGGCGGCTTGGTAACACTCACCACCATGCACAGCCCGATGCCGAAGAAGCGGCCGACCCTGAACAGATCGAGCTCGCGCAGTGGTCTCCTCTCCACGGCCGCCTGGGCGAGAACGTCCCCCACGCCCATGAGGGCACCTGCGACCAACAGGGCTGGGTCAGCGGCGGCGGGGGGAGGGGGGGGGGGAGACACACCGAACAGACAGGCGACGGGGCTCTGGTGCAGGGTTGCGCGCATCTACATGAAGGTACACACAGCTAGGAATGCAGGCGGGTCGAATGACAGGTCTTTACTGATGGATTATGTCATTACGTATCTGGAAGCATTGAGAACGTGAGAACGTGAGAAGCGCGATTATTTCATTACGTATCTGGAAGCACTGCACGACCATTCCCTGAGACCAGCAATACTTGTGAGACAAGTGGTCCGATTGCCTGTTTCGTTAAATCTGTTGACATGGGGACGCAGAAATGGACTGGCGAATCTTCAGTACCCGAAAGTCTCGCAATGCTTAAGAAATAACGTAAGTGACTCCAATGCTGCCTCTAACGTCATCCTTACGCCGGCCCACATGCACACCCTCACACGGCACATGAATGTTGCAATCACATTTTTGAACTAGCTCCATTGTGACCCCGTGCCAACATAACTTTATTATATGCCCACGCAATCGGCCCGTTTCAAATACACACGAGTTCATCGCCGAGATGACTGCGCCTTGCGTCTGTCCCAAACCACTCCGGGGTTCAACTGGCCCAGATCCCCCGCCAGCCGGCTGACGAAACGTCACGGGGCGCGTTACAGGGCGCAACATGACCCAACTTTGCGATCTCTCCGAGCCATTCATTTGCATTGTCCAGGGAGCAGTTGGCGGCGGTATCCGGGTCAGAGGCGCACAGAGCTAAGAGTACCTCCGAAACGGCCCCTATTTTCGCCGTAAATGAGCAAAGTTAGACCAAGGTATAATATAGTGTTATTTAAAAGTGATTGTCCAGGGAGCTATTCTTATGCATTCATCACAAAACTTGCGGAGCTGTACAGATAAATTACGGCAATGTGCTTTGGGCGAATTAACAACGGCATCTAGGTGAAGAGTAAATAAAGCTTGATGTTCCGTGAAACTAGCTGGTAGGGCTCAGTGCTAAAGTAAGCAGTCTAGAATATCTGCAGAGGCTTGTTGCTAAACCTTGTTTACCTCCTCACTCTACAACCTACAGAAATCAAAATACTTAGGTCAAACCGCCTTGTTCTATTTTCGTGTTTTTATTTCAGATCTATCTGAGCACGGGATAAGCAGACTACAACCGATCGAATACCTTCCTCTGATTATGGACACCCCACTCCGTACCCAAGACGTTCTATCCCGCCGTACATCCGTCAGTTCAAAAACCGCCGCATCAAGGTATCATTTACCGAGGCAGGCTGCCAGCCAGCCCCGCCCTTCCCAAACAGGCACGGTGGTACACTATATGACAAATGTGATTATCATCCATGAGCAAGGCTTGGCTGATGGGCAGGCGGCTTCCCCCAAAAATGGGTTTGCGGATAACCCGCAGAAGACGGCGCGAGACAAACGCAGTAAAAGTGTACTTTAGATCTTAAAGCATTTGAAGTGACCGCCTCGCCTGCAGCTTGTCACTGGGTGTTGCGGGTTGCTTCCTGTGCTGATGTGCTCACCCCGGGAGGGCGTAGCCAGCGTTGAGGCTGCGATCAGCGCCACCTTGATGCTACAAGTCCCTCAAGTCATGCCTGTGTCCAATGGGCGTCCGATAATTTAGTTAACAACACGTACCCTTGCAGGGTAAAATCATTATTTTTAGACCATTTCTGCTAGGGCTGTGATATCTGGATTCCCTTCATTTGCACTTCTATGATTACATGCGCCCGGCAGGGGCAGAACAAATCAGCTGGCACGTAATCAAAAGCGACGCATGTATTCTAAAGCCGAGCAGGCTGCAGAGAGGTGAGACCCCAGGCCTGTCCCTCGGGAAGGCCAGCGCGAGCGGTCAAACATCTGGGTGCATGGATTACTACTGCCTACCACTGGATTACTACTATGTCTGCATTTCGTGTATCTCGTAGCTCGTGTGCGCTGATAATAGGGAAACCCCTGTACGTAAGGGTAATTAGTTCAAACCGTCTGAATTCTAGCTCTTTGCGCTTTGTCTTTAACGGACGGGAGCCATTTTCACTCCAGCGATTGACACCACGTGAATTATAGACATCGTGCTTCTTAGTTTGGCTACGGAGGACAAACTGCAAGCCGTAATGGTGCCATGTCACTTGGAATGCAGCCGAACACTGGCACGTCATGACATTTTGACATTTTCTAGCTCGATCCTAGATGCACGGACGACAGAAGCATTCTCGCTACATGGTTCCGAAGTGAGTCAGAGTCCCGGAACGCGTCTACAAAGAAAAGCAAGAAAAAGCTCGGTGTCTAGGGATTCAACGATCTACAGTTTCACTTTCTTAAATCTAACAGTCACTCCAGAGATTAGGCCAACCTCCGTGGCGCAACGTCGGTCACAATGCAACTTCGAAAACATGCAGCTTTCTGGACTATTTAACAACACTCGTCCAGCCAAACTGCCACATATCGTGTTGTGAAAAAGATTTCGTGTTTAAAAGTGACGACTTCGATCTCAGGTCGGAAAAGGTCACCATAGGTCACTGACCTCATTTTACCTCGACAAGTCATCGACTATCGGGCGACTCGTGAACTTGCAAAGCCACAACTCGGTACTCTATGCCGCGCCTAAAAGCACCATTAATTGCTGACACACAACAAATTGTTGCAGCCATCAAACAGTGGCACCACTCTTCGATACTTGCCGTTACCATGGGCCTGCGTCTGAGCTTCGCGGCTGGCGCCATGGCCCCACGACTCAACAATATCTGTGACATGACCACCCTTTTGCAGAACACGCCCAATATATCGCCCTTTAACGGCGCTGTCTGCATCGCATTTTCCCGTAGAGAGCCCGCCTGGGCTCTCTACGGGAGAGCCCAGGCGCTCAGTGACCGTGGCTGGGATGGCACATCAAGTAATTTCAATCAACATTCCGTGTGACATCAGGTAAGCATATCGTGCTCTTTTCAAGGAATGTGTTGGCGATTATTAAACGGCCGGCGTCACGCGTCTCATCTCAGAAGCACGTTATGCAAAACGCCCCGAGGCATGCTATTTTAAGCGTTGCCGGGCGCCCATTAACCCATCACCTTTCCATTTTTGTTTTCAATGTCTGACTGTTACTATGTGCTGAAAGCGGTGTTCGTACAAAATGCACAATTCATCTCGAATTAGCTATACGGGCTTGGTTTGGGGCCCGTCAGACTATTTCATTTAGTCCCTTTTTTAATAAGAGCGCTTCCGACCAGTTCATACTATTTCAGCGATGTGAGATGAAGGAGAAACGATAACGGTGAGACAGAACCACATGCACCTAGGTGCCAGTTCGCCGGGACTTAGCCCGCACAGGGACACCTTCCGGAACATGTGTGAGCGCACGGACGGGACCCCATCCAGGAGAGGGGGGGGGGGGGGCACTAAAGCCCACTCGTTACTGCTGCGTGTATCTTTCATCGGACATACAGGGCGCTGCGAGGATGCAGGATAGAGTGAGGAAACTAAGACGGATGAGCTATATTGGATTCTGGGGCTTTCTTCGAACAATGAATATTTTGTTTAGGTTCTCTGTGTTTGTTTGTCGCTTGGGTGGCTGAGGCTTCCATGAATATGATTTCTAGTGCGAGGTCAGTCTGCTAAGTCACAGGCTGAGCCTATTGTTTGGAGGCTTCCGGAACCAAACTGAACGGCGCTCTGCGCATCTAATGTCGCCCGGTTTGGTAACGGAAGGTGATTGGCATCTACGCGCCATCTAAAAGCATGAATATGAACTTCAGATGGGCACAATAGCCACAGGCTTGTTCCATTACAAAGGTGATATATCAAAGATGCCGAGCATTCAGTTCGCGTGCTACCATCAATAAGCCAACAACACTAGCAGCAATACTTGATGCACAATAATGCACCGAGTTACATTCAATGTGTCAACGCTCCTTTGGTCGTTTTATTCTCTTACAAGACAATGACAACTAAACAAATTTTCTGACAAACACCATGGCAGCACACTTGGAAAAATGATCTTAGTCTCAGTCAGGATGGCAAAATGATGCCGCAGTTTCACGCCAACGGCGCTTCGCACTCTCATGGACGTCTCGCAGCGGAACTCCCTCCTCACCATCCAATGGAGCGAGCCGCCCACGCACCTCAGGAGCGAGGGCTGACGAAATATCGTCTGTCGACGAATTGATCCCAGTCCCGCTTCGCGCTGCAGTCCAACAGAGCGCGGCGCATTGGCAGACTACACATACAAATGAATTTCAAAGAGCCGCGATATCAGGCCATAAAAAGATATAAGGGATATAAGCAGGTAGTCAGCTGTAGCAGACAGCAATTGACAAGCCTCAACTGCCTTTTCCCAGCTTAAGGTTATTAAGCTTTCAGGTCGGGGTTTTTCAACCCAATAACTTACATGCTGAGGGAACGTTGGCAAAAATACGTTACTACAACTGCGTTGATAGGCTGCTTGCAAGCGTCGCTTACATACAGTTCATTGTGCTCAAGTCCACCATCATTGCACACCTGCCTCTGGCAGTACCCCAATCGATATGCGTGCACGGGTTAAAGTCAAGATGGCAGGGTACACACGAGAAGACGAGATACACAGGGAAGGGAATTTCATATATTATGTGTGCTGCTGTGTTTGAGGACCCGCCGAATACCAACTAACCTTTATCCTTATCTATCTAAATTTAAGATAAATTATCAATCCTTATCCAAACCAATCCTCCCTAGCCCAACCCTAACAACCCAAACTATCCCGTCCAACGTCAGTAAGCCGCGCCAATTTCACTCCTCACACAACCTGTGCATGCCGCGCATCAGAGGCGTGACTCTTCAGCGGCTGGTAAGCGTGGACGAGAGCTGAGCCGGCCCGCCCAACTCGGCTGGCAGCGGGACAGCTGGCGCCCCCTATACCCGCCGGGCTGACCGCGTCCGGCCCGCCGTCAGCTGGCGGCGGTCCGCGCTCGCCTGCAGGAGAGCTGGAGCCGCGCACCATCGCCGCCGCTCGTATTAAGTACGCGTGTCGAAACACTTTGAGTTTGAACTGCAGGACGCGAGGGACATGCTCCATCTGGTCCAACTCACACCCACACTGACAGGATACAAGAAATCCAGAGAAAGTATTCACCGCCTTCTTATCATAGATCATCATCCACTAATTTCTGGCACTGGAGTACCTTCTTGTATTCAAATATCTGACCATCGGCCTGCTAGTTTCTGCTTTAACATGCAAACCCATTGCCCAAAAGTGAAAACAAATACTTGGTTGGCAGTCAGAAACAGTACCAAATGTTGACTACACACCCATGAATTCTGGAGGCCCTCTAGGCTCTATGCCACTGGCACTACATGGCAACAGTTCAATCTGGAACTGGTTGGTGGTGGATGCTCATGTCAAAACCTGGTCTGCAGTTTCAATCCAGCACCACCATAATGCTCAGGTGGCTCCTGCACTGAATGAGTGAGCATATTTGGGTGTGATCTGTAGCAATTTTCCCTATTTAGGTTTATGTTCTTGAAACATCCAGCACTTTGACATTTTTATGCTTCACCATTTAAATTCCAAGTGAGCAAAGTACCCTAATCACATGTCAGCCACTTCTGACCCCAACCTACAATTACCTGCTTGAACTGACTGCACTATAACAGGGTGCCTTGTGAGCAGGCTGTTGTACAGTGTCCTCAGCCGAGATCCCATGCTGCAGCAGAAGGCAGAAACTGCTCACAGTCCAGGCACGGCAGTCACCGGGCCAGGCAATCACTTCATTCACTTCTGCAACAGAGTAGAGGATGTCATGGTGAGGTAGATCTTGAAGCATTCTGATGGACAGCAGCTGACATGGTAAAAATGCTGTCATGGATGCCAAGTCTGGGTATGTATACCTATAATTGAATCAGTGATGTCATATTACAACAGTGCAAATTTATCTTCCTCATGGCTACCTGCTGTATGAAACTGCCCAGTCCTACTATGTCAATGTATGTGACCATTTTGGGCCATCTAAAGCACTTGAACCTTGGTGTTAAGTCACCAATATCACAAACACATCCATTTAAAGGCTACATTTTCAGGGAGCATATGCCTAACACCAGTGAAAGTGCTAACACAAGCATCTGAAGATGTCAGCAGGTAACACCCTTGGAAGCATAATGCACAAATGTTTCAGGTCATATACCTGATAAGTATTTGCTCTGTCACATTTAGTTATATGCATGTTGTCAGGGTTTTATAATGAAATAGAGACACTTCAATATTTAGGATAGACATTGTATGCATAGATACCACAAGTATTAATTGGCATCCAATTCAGTGGAGTATGCACTTCTAGTATAAATGTGTGAAAATAATCCAGTCATGCATCTCAGCCTAGAAATAGTGGGCATCACACTACTGAACATGATTCTGGCATCCAAAGACAAAAATGCTTGAATGCTATGTTAACTAATGGCTCTTAGGCATTTTTGCCTTTGGATAGCACCATTCTTAATGGTAGCATATATTATACCATGCTTGTCATGGACAGCAATGGGCAGGGTGGCAGATTAGGGGGGGGGGGGAAGGAGAAGGGAAGCTGCCCTTAACTTCAGGCAGTAATTAGCATTGATACTGTAGCAGTGCAGGAGAAGAAACAAGGTGAATATCATCATGTTCACCTCTACTCTTCGCCTTATTTCACCTACTCAAGTTTTGACTGGTGCTGGTCCTGGAATAATCCTTTCCAAGCATATATTGGTGTGCATACCATGCACATGGCAGCATAGAATACTAATGGTCACAAAACACAATTCTGTGTCATTATTTTATTGCACAGTGTTTGCCAAAGTATCTTTACCATGCCATGTAACAGCACAATATGTCCAATATATGCCAACTCAACACTTACAGCCATTTATGAATCATCTGCTGGCAAAGATCACAAATTGATATTGCAGAGAACTTAATTTATATCCACCACAATATGTCCAAATGACAGGTAACACACAAATCATGATAAGGGAACAATGGGGTCAGACAAATTAATGATTACTACCTTGCCCTCCTCATCCCTTCACCATAACCTTTTCAAACAGCCCACCACCAATAAGTAATAATAAATTCATCACATTATCATGCTGTGGATCAGAAATCATGGCAGAACACGCCAGTTTGCACGAACAGTTTTTACACGGTATGATGGAAATCACCACGTAGTTATGCATGATCAGCTTCATCTAGCATGTCATACAGCTGAAAAACTCAAATTTGAACTGCTCTGTTTCCTGAAAACCAAGCCTTTAAATTCTGAACCATACCTAACGTTTGTATCAATCTTAGTCGTTCAAACGCGCGATGGCTCTCGGGCCCTTTATTGTGAATTCAGCATATTCATTAGCCAACTATCTGAGGTTAAGTGCGCCAAGAAAGAATCTGCTGCGCTAAGTATGTAACAAAAATAACAGAAGTGTATATGACTTTTTGGTTTTATTTACTGCAGAGAGGAAAGAAAATGTCTTAGGAATTATGATATATTTTTATAATTGTAATCATGCAATCTGATTAAAAAAAACATTTCTGACTCTTATTAAAAAATTATCCAGGGGTGGTGTTATTATTTGTAAGCATTGACTTAATGATCCGTCGCTAGATGGCAGACAAAGAGGGTTTGTCCTGGCTCACGCCCCGGCGTCCTCGACCGGGTGGCCACTCGCGAGTAGCGGGGCCCGTCCCGCCGCCGCCTGGCGGGTGCCGAGGCGGGCGGAGGGTCCAGCCGCTTTGTTTTGATTCAGTCGCGAAGATGGCGGGGTTGCGTGGTGTGTGTATGCTTTTGGAGAAGCATCGTGACGTGATATGTGAGGACCTGAATGTGGATGAGGTGGTTCCTGAGTTAGTGAGCAAGGGCATTTTGGGTGTTGAGGAGGAGAAAGCACTAGCTAACGAGGATTTGGCCAGAGCGAAGGCCGAATTGTTGGTGGGCCAGCTTAGCAAGAAGGGGTTTGCAGCGTTCCAGGAATTTTGCCACGTTCTGGAGAAGAGGCATCCACATCTTCTCACATGCTTCCTGATGGACGTTGCGGGTGAGTGTTGGAACTTGTGTTGGGGACATTTGCATGAAATGAGTGATGTGTGCATGATGCATCACTTTTTCAGTCTTACCGACGTATTCGTCGACTTGCGCCAAAAATGGTACGAAATTCGTATGGAAACCAGCAGCCTTTAACCGGCGCCTCTCGCCGTTTTGTCGGCGCTTTATGGGCTGCGTCAAAGAAGTACGAAGGAACGTGCCTCCGTGAACTTTGCTGAGTTTTAGCCTAATGTCTGTGGCGTTGCATAAAAAAACGTCTTGAAAATCCTCGATGATCTCTCCTCCCCATCCCTATGCTTTTTCAACCCGTTTAAGAGCCAGTGGCTAAATGACCTTTTGAAACGAGGTCCTTTCTGCTCCTTTCTGCAGTCACTGCTGGTTTCGTCGATGAGTGATGGTTTTTCGTTGGGGATTCCGCAGTTCGTGAAGGTTTCGATGGCAGGCTGCGGCATCAGAACACGAAACGGCCCACTGGGAACATGATTTCGAATAAGACGTTTAAAACTGGTGGAGGTCTCGCGATTGGTGTGCATCTTCCTTTTTGGCGGACGCTCGCTGTTGACGCTGCAGTATTCCCCTAGAGCGCTGGCTTGAACATAGACCTCATGCAGACTAGCAAGACCGCCATCTTACGCTCCAGTTTTGCGGCGGTATCCATTTGACACCACCTGTTACGGTACCATAGTTTGAGCCGGAGAAAAAAGGCACCAATGAAAACATATCCTGGTCGGGCACGGCACTTTGTCCTCAACTCGCGTGTAATTGTCACCTCTAGTTCGCTTCGGGGCAGCCGCCGCGGCAAGGCCTGTGGAGCGCCCGTGACCGAAACGCGAACACGTGGCGCTCCGGCTCCTTCCGGAGCTACCTTTACGATGCGGCGCACAGCTCAACCCAGGAGATCCCTTGGCATCATTGCCGTTGCCCTGGATTTTGTGTGGTTTTAAGCTTTTGCTCCACTACGAAACTCAAATACCTAGAAAACCTTTATGGTAGACACCATCGATTTAACGATCCCGCTTTGACCATCGTCCGTTCGTTTCGCCCATCCATCAGCTGGATACTCACCGAGCACTGCTCCGCGACACCAAACGTTTTAAGAAACAGGACAGCGCCGGCCTTTATCACTTCAGAGTTCTCATGCTGAGTTATCGACCTGGATGTACCAGAAGGCGCTGGTTCTGGATGTACCAGAAGGCGCTGGTACCAGAAGGCGCTGGCTTATCGGCGTTATAGAACAGCTACTGACCACATGGAAGGTTTTTAACGTTTCAAACTGTGCATATGATCATGAGAGCACAAATTGAAACGTCAGCTGCGCTCGATGCGGCCGATGTTTTTGCTCTTTCTATGGCGCCGTGTAACCAGTACCTCCTGGTAAATTGGAGGTCAATAACTCGGCATAAGAACTCTGAACTCAAATGTCGAAAAACCAGGAGCTGCAGGCCTTTCTTGCTTGCACCAAGCACAACGCTCGTCATGAGTGACCCGCCACCCTGCCCGTGACCCTGGCCAGCCGACAGCACCTGAACGGGTAGCTGCTAGGGGGTCCACGTGGTCGAACGCCTCGGACGGTCGGCACGGCATATCACCACGTGTGCGACTGCGGCGTTCAATGCGGCCGGTTAGCTCACGGGGCGCGGCCGGTTAGCTCATGTGGCGCGGCCGGTTAGCTCGCGGGGCGCGTCCGGTTAGCTCATGTGGCGCGGCCGGTTAGCTCGCGGGGCGTGGCCGGTTAGCTCATGTGGCGCGGCCGGTTAGCTCACCAGGCGCGGCCGGTTAGCTCGCGGGGTGCAGCCGGTTAGCTCATGTGGCGCGGCCGGTTAGCTCACCAGGCGCGGCCGGTTAGCTCGTGGGGCGCGGCCGGTTAGCTCGCAGGGCGCGGTCGGTTAGCTCACGGGGCGCAGCCGGTTAGCTCGCGGCTGTTCCTGAAAGGTCAGCTGCAGTGGTAGCAGTCGGGCTCGGGGCAGCGGACGCTATGCGTCAGGGCGCATGCGTGACGTGCCGAAGCGCGGAAATGCTTCGCTGGTTCTGACACAACGTGTCAACTCACGGGCGCAGTGATGTCTACCTACAGTACAAAAATGGTATGCAAAAGTGCACCCCTCCGTGCAGCCATTCATGCGCGATCCCCAGGTACTCGCGTGTTCATAATGCAAAGTGAGAGCAAACTTGAACGGAGCAAACATGCGCGTAAATCACGTAATCGTCTTAGCTGAGAGCCGGGCCGATTCCGACGGCCACTTACAGATCGTGGATTGATGTGAAACTCGACTCCGCTCTCGAGCGGCACGGAATAACTTCGAGTGGCGTTAGATTACGCCCCGGGGAGACACAGCACACAGTCGACACCGCTTCATTGCGATTGATTCCGGTACCACCATCATGCATTGTATCTGTTCAAATCTAAACACATCATGCAGTTGTGTGAGGACAGTTAAACACACAGCAAAGCGTGAAGTGTTTCATTTACAGTGTTGGTAGCCTGTCGCGATGCGATGGCGTCACGGCAATGCTAAGTTGATTGACTGATTATTGTACCAGTTGTGAGTACCCAAATTTCGCATGCGATGCACCCAAAGGAACCTTCAAGCAAATCGGCTCTATTGAAAGTAGATAAGGATTTGTTCGATTCTTAATTCGCCTCCGACTCGGTCGACACGGCCCTGATCCGGCGTCAAGCAATCGTGAATGCAGCTATTAAAGGGTTCACGGCGGCCATGCTTTGGCCGCCCGGTTGCTTTTAAAGGGTTCACGGAGGCCATGCTTTGGCTGCTCGGTTACTTTTAAAGGGTTCACGGCGGCCATGTTTTGGCCGCTCGGTTTCTTTTAAAGGGTTCACGGCGGCCATGCTTTGGCCGCTCGGTTGTTTTTAGAGGGTTCACGGCGGCCATGCTTTGGCCGCTCGGTGACTTTAAAAGGGTTCACGACTGGCGATCCCCTGGAGGCTCTGCTACTTTTAAACGGTTCACGGCGGCCACGCTTTGGCCGCTCAGTTGCTATCCATGAGGCACAGAAGGCGTAGCGGCAGCCAGGCGAAGAAAGAAAGCAATAAGTCTGCGCAGTGAATTGACGTTTTTTCAATGCATCCTTTCATTCCAGGGGCGTGCTTTTGCAAAATGTGTTTGAGCATGGAGGGGAGCAGTGGAAAAAATTACCCAAATTGTCCCAAAATACGCCAACAATCGGGTTTCTCCCCAGATTTGGCCCACTTGTTTCTCAAAGTTGGTGGTTTAAGCTCCATTGGGAAAGGGGCTGGAGTTCGCCCTTCAATTGTAGAGGAAATTACACTCCTGCTTCTATTCCTAAAGAGACAAGGCCTCCCGAAAAAAACATGTTCAAGATTTGTGAACCATCACCGATTAATAGAAAACCAGGAGTGAGTGCTATCCCTACTATCTCAGGCGACGCACATAACCACGCTGCTTTAAGTTCACCCTTTTCATTCAAATTTTCGGGCCTTGGTTTCGGCTTTGCGGCCCCAACCTTTAGCACTAGCGACACCCATTTCGACTTCGGCTTCATTTGATCACAAAGACAGGTCTTTTGAGACCTGTCAGTTATGCATGATTATGCATGCCCTTGATAGATGTAGATTGTAGATCTCGCCGGCGCGGAGTGCCTGGGTACGCCGCCTGCGGGAAATCCGAGCATCCCACCCGAAGGTCAGCTCCGCAGAAGTCCAGTAATCCACTCTGGCTTCTTTGACCTTTCATCCTGTTATGATGTGTCGTATTTTAAAAGGGAGTAATGTGCATTAATGGTCCCCTGATAGTTTCGGGCCGTTGCGATCTTTCCACTTATACTCAGATCAAGCATATGTTCATTGCCTTTGAACACATTTTGGAAGCAAACATCTCAGGTATTGGTTCAGGGTCGTGCAGTTTCTGCTTGTGTAACCTATGACCTTATCAGTGCTCCACGCTGGCCGGTAGCACAATTTAAGCTGGAGTCTGGTGCGGTCTGCCCGCAGGTGACCAGATGAATCCCCAGTTCTTTCGTCTGACAGTGTGGCCAGCACGTATTGGAGAGGTTCAACCAGGCCTAGGGCGGGCGGGGCTTCCCAACGCTGCCGGTGCATTAGTTTTTTATGGGTCTCTTGGGATGCATTAGAACTTCACTTCTGTCGAGAACGTTGTCAATAAAAGATGTGTTGGTGCAGCAAGGGCGGCAAAAATGTGGGACAAAACAGGGGCTGGGATGCTGGACCATCCTGGTATTGTCAACATATTTACAGGAAATGGATTCATCTCCAGTTAAAATTCAACGTCTTCATGATACGTGCACG